TATTGTGATCAAGACCGACCCAATCTTTACACCTTGGCTCTTTAGTCATAAAAATGTTTTTCAAACTTGTTTAAGTCATTAAAAACACTTGGTGTTCGCCCAAACCAAAAACCAAGCCATCCAGTGTTCGGCTTTCAGAAACCAGCGTTCGGCTTTCGGTTGTCGGGTTTGGTTTTTGGCATCCGAACCAACCAAGTGGTTTTCAGCATTTTATGATCTGCTTTCACTCTTTGGCATGTTTAAACGGTTCTCCAACAAAAACACTTTGAAAACCATCTCTCGCTTTTAGTCGTTTGACAAAAACCACGCAAAACGGCGTAAATTTGGCTAGCCGTGGTTTTTACTCAAATGACGTGATTTTTAAAGTGTCTCACTTGATTTATTAGACAAATACATCAAATAAGTGTTTTAAACACTTGGTTTTTATTTTGGAGAACTTTGGATTTTTCGGTCTGTTTTTGTATCGGTTGAGGCTCGTGGGACTCGAGTTCTCAGGTTGTAACGGCTTGTTAAGCACCCGTAAGCTTAACGGAATTAGTGTAGCTCGAGAGAGTCTCTCAGGAGGCTAGATTAGCCACAAGTTGTGGTGAACCAGGGTAAATCTTGGTGTGCTCCCTTTACGCTTTCTACGCTCTTTATCTTTCACGTTCTTAATTTTTTATTCCTGCGATTTCTACGATCAAACGCGATTCACCCCCCCTCTAGCGTTGGTCACTTATTCTAACACATCCCTCCTAAGAAGTAAGCATTTTTGAGCTCAAAACTCCCTTCCTCTCTCCCTAAGCCCCACGGCCAAACTAAACTGCCCTTCTCACCTTTTTCCCACTTCAACCATGTCAAGTGAATCCCAACCCATGTCCCATAAAGAGCTTGTTGCCTTCAACAGAGCCTTGAAGGCCCAAGTCGAATACTTGGCCAAAGAAGTGACTAAACTTACCAAGATAAAACTTAATGCACTACAAGGAAGTGATCATGAGGATGACTCTAGCACTAGTGGCATCACCAAAGCTAGGGCTCCCGTCCATGAAGGTTTTGATTTCAAGGTGGACATTCCGACCTTTGAAGGAAAGAATGACCCGGACGAGTTCCTAGAATGGCTAGAGACGGTGGAACGTGTCCTCGATTTCAAAGAAATTTCCGACGAGAAGAAGGTGAAGATAGTGGTCTTGAAGTTCCGCAAGTATGCATCCACTTGGTGGACCAATACTTGCACCAAAAGAAGAAGGAACGGTAAGGAACCGGTGTCTACTTGGACTAAGATGAGGTCGCTCTTGAAGAAGAAGTTCTTACCCGTTGAGTACGTTCGTGAGAATTTTGCTAAGCTCCTAACGCTTAAGCAAGGTTCAAAGTCTCTGGAAGATTACAACCGAGAGTTCGAGGAACTCTTGTTGAGGTGTGACTTACAAGAAGACGATGAGCAAACCTTTGTACGCTACCTCTTTGGCTTGAACCTACAAATAGCCAATACGGTGGAGTTACAAAGCTACGAGACCCTCGAGGAGCTCACCAAGTTAGCCCTCAAAGTTGAAGCACAAATCAAGAAATCCAAGGCCCTTTTTTCCAAACCCAACCCCACCTATACACGGCCTAACCCTATCTCTCAAAAAACCCCCTATTATCCTTCCAAAACTCCCTTTTCCTCTACCAAGACACCTCCTACTGCCCACGGCCAAACCCCCAACTCTTCAAGCCCAACACCATCCAAAAACCCCTCCTCCTCTTTCCCTACAAGGGTTGATCCCAACAAGAAAGCCCCTATTTGTTTCCGTTGTCAAGGGCGAGGTCACTATGCTAACGAGTGTCCTAACAAGAAGCTTATGGCAATCATTGAGTGTGATGAAGAAGATTGCGACCCAACTTGGGTTGAAGGAGAAGTTGAAGAAGTGGAAGAACAAGATGAGTACGTGGGTCCCGATGATGGCGAACTCTTGGTCATGCGAAGGACTTTGAGCACTCTAGCATGCCCCGAGGAACAACTACAACCAGAAAACATATTCCACACCCATTGTACTGTCCAAAAGAAGGTGTGTTCCCTCATCATTGATAGTGGAAGTTGCACCAATGTGGATTCCAAAACCATGGTAGACAAGCTGCGTTTGAAGACGACACCACACTCGAAACCATATACGATTCAATGGTTGAATCAATGCAAGGGTTTACGTGTTGACACACAAAGCCTCATTTCCTTAAGCATTGACAGCTCGTACAAAGATGAAGTATGGTGTGATATCATCCCGATGGACGCCTGCCACATCCTCTTGGGACGACCATGACTGTTTGATCACTGTGTGCAACACGATGGTTATGCCAACACTTATTCATTTTTGATGAATAAGAAGAAAATCACCCTAACCCCTTTACCCCTCCTGCAGCCACGTCCAAACCAACCAAAGAACAACCCCCCATTCTTATCTCCACCATCCTACAAGCCGAACAACATGAATTCAATGGGATTAAAGACTTGATCCTATTAGAAGATGGAGAAACCGAACCCTCAAACCACCCAAAACAGCCCCATCCTTTAGCCGAACCCATCCTCAAAGAATATGCCCATGTTTTCCCCGATGATGTTCCACACGGCCTCCCACCTAAGCAGGACATCCAACACAAGATCGACCTCATCCCGGGGGCTGCCCTACCAAACAAACCGGCATATAGGATGAATCGCGAGGAGACGAAGGAAATTCAACGTCAAGTTGATGAACTATTAGCAAAGGGTTTCGTAAGGGAGAGCCGTAGCCCATGTGTTGTCCCGACACTCTTGGTGCCAAAGAAGAATGGAACGTGGCGCATGTGTTGTGATAGTTGGTCTATTAATAAGATCACTATCAAGTATCGGTACCCCATCCCACGTTTGGAAGACATGCTTGATGAACTACACAGTGTTAGACAAATGTGCAACTCTAGAGGGGGGGTGAATAGAGTTGTTTTCAAGAATGTGCATTTTTCGCGTAAAAAAAAATATCGCAGGAATAAGTAAAGAGAGTAAGGGAAAGAAGAACACCGAGATTTATACTGGTTCACCACCTCGTGGCTAGTCCAGTCCTCCGAGAGACTCTCTCGAAAGTCCTACTAATCTTCAAGCTTCAACGGGTGCTTGAAAAGCGGTACAACTTGAGAACTTGAATCACACAAGCCTCACTTTCTTACAACAACAAGACTTGAGTCACACAAGTCTTTTGAACAACACTCAAATGAGATTGAGTTTACAACACAAGAATGAAAGCTCACACAATTGAGCAAAGTAGTGTTTGAAAGATTTAAGCTCTATGGATGACAACTTCTATAGCACTCAAGGAAAAATATTTCTAACTCTCAAAAATAATATTTTGATGAGGAAGATGAAGCAAAGGATGAATATAGCTCAAAGAAATATATTGGAGTGCAAGAGGTTTTTCTTGAAATGAAGGAGAATGAGGGATTAAATAGGCTGAGGAAAATAAAGCCGTTGGAGCAGGCTGAGAATATGCACTAGATAAAATTAATCGATTAAAGTAAAAGTTTAAATCGATTACTGTACATAGAAGCGAAATAGCCTGAAAAGAAAACTGAATCATAATCGATTAAATGAAGACAAATAATCGATTAGGAGGTTCGGTACGAACTAATCGATTAATGAAGGAAAAATAATCGATTTTTGATCAAGTTTGAGCAGCCCAACGAATAGCTTATAAATCGATTAAAGTGAAGCAACAAATCGATTAGGAGGTTCTGTCCAAGCTAATCGATTTTCTTGAAAGAAATAATCGATTATGAGTTGAAACCTGAGAAATTGCGCTGGATCTAATCGATTATCTTAAAGGATATAATCGATTAAAATGAAAAATAATGCGCAAACACAAAGGGCCCAACCAAGTGCGATTGGAAGCACTTTGGCTTCTAACTCGTTGTTTGGGACAACGAGAATAACAAGGCACGCTCCTGTGATAAACTCTCCCTATTCAATGAATTTGAGTAGGGGAGAGAAAAAGAGAGTCCAAAAAATTATTTTGTGTGTCAAACAATACACGAAAAAATATTTAAAGTATATTTTTCTCACCAAAGAAAATTGTGTAATCTAAAAAAATGTTTTAAAGAAATTTTGACACACTTATTTTGAAACTGACTCACTAAAATATTTTAGACAGAGAAAAAGTGATTTGTCAACTGACTCAAAAATAATTTTTATCCCTCAGAAATTTAAATTGTTTTGTGCAGAAGATATTGTCATCCTTACAAAAATTCCTAGACTCAATAAAAATAAAAAATATTCGGAGTCTTCGCTTCACTTCAAAAAACTGCGTAGGGGTGAGCGTGAATTATCGCCGAAAATTCTTGATGCCCTTCTCTGCTTTTCTCGATCCGAATAAATTTTCGAATATCGATTGAATTTAATCATCCTGTTTGTCATTCATCAAAACAAAAAATAGTCCAAAAATAATAAGGAGGTTTGAACTCATGTCCAACACACAGATCTAAGATTTTCTCAAAAGTTGATCTTAGGAGTGGCTACCATCAAATATGCATCTTTGAAGGAGATGAGTGGAAAACAGCATTCAAGACGAAGTTTGGGCTATACGAATGGTTGGTCATGCCATTTGGGTTAACCAATGCCCCGAGTACATTCATGAGACTTATGAATCAAGTCTTGAAGCCATTCATAGGTCATTTTTTCGTTGTCTACTTTGACGAAATTATGATGTATAGTAAAAGCGATGAAGAGCATGTAAATCACCTCACTTTGGTGATTAAGAAGTTAGACGATGAGAAGTTGTACGAGAATCTCGAAAAGATCCAATTCTTTGCTCAAGAGATGGAGTTCTTGGGGTATTTTTTCTCAAGTGAAGGAATCAAGCTTGATGAAAAGAAAACCCAAGCCATTAAGGATTGGCCGATCCCCACTACTATGCAACAAGTCCGAAGCTTCCATGGGTTAGCCTTGTTTTACCGGAGATTTGTGAAGGACTTTAGCACCATCACGGCACCCATCACCGATTTGACAAAAAATCAGAAGTTCGAGTGGAATCCCAGAGAACAACAAGCATTCGAGGCAATTAAGGAGAGACTAACGCATGCCCCCGTGTTGGCTCTACCTAGCTTTGACAAGTTATTTGAGATCGAATGCGATGCCTCCGGAGTAGGCATAGGGGCTGTGCTAGCCCAAGAAGGACACCCGGTGTCGTACTTTAGCGAAAAGTTAAACAATACAAGGAGGCGGTATTCCACCTATGACAAGGAGTTCTACGCGCTGGTGCGGTCACTTGAGCATTGGCGTCATTACCTCATTAGCAAGGGGTTCATCCTACATTCTGATCATGAGGCCCTAAAGTATATCCAAGGGCAACATAAACTCCGGCCCCACCATGCTAAGTGGGTTGAATATATCCAAACCTTCACCTTCACCATCAAGCACAAAAACGGAACCATGAACAAGGGCGCCGACGCCCTATCCCGGAGACATTTATTGCTAACGGTACTTAGTACCAAACTTGTTGGTTTTGAGTTTTTGCAGGAGCTGTACAAGGAGGATGAAGACTTCAAAGACACTTACTCTAAGTGTCTCATTCGGCCCTATGGAGACTTTCTCATCAAGGACGGATATCTTCCATGGCAACCAACTTTGCATTCCTAAATGTAGCATTCGTGAGACCCTTATTGACGAGATCCATGGAGGAGGGAGGCCTAGCTGGTCATTATGGGATCGATAAGACTCACATAATGATGAGAGAACACTACTTTTGGCCGAAGATGGAGCGAGACATAGAGCATTTTATCAAGCGTTGCAACACATGCCACCTAGCGAAGAGTCAACCCTTTTTGTACTGTTAAGTATTGACCCACAAGTTTTGATTATTGACAAACACAAGTTATTCAAGTCAAGAATAAAGTGCTAGATTGACAGACACAAAGACTTGAAATGCCAAATCTCTTGGAATATTCAAGAAGGAGCATATGATTTAAATGAAGACCAAGACGCGTTCGGAGTGCCTAACCGAGAAGAAGAAGATTTTCGAAGACCTTTTCATTTATATGAGTCTTAGGAAATATTGTAAGGATGGCAAAAATAATCTTTTCTCCAAAATTATTTTTATTAGAGTTAATATAAAAATTATATTTATTTTTGGAGTTAGTTGAAAAATCCTTTTTAATTATTCAAGAATGCTTTTACTGAGTTAGTTACAAAAGGTGTGTAAACATTTTTCAAAATACTTATTTTGATATTAGAAAATGTTTTTGGTAAGCAAAAATATTTAACTCAAATATTTTTTGACATCTTTTGACACACACTATATTTTGGGACTCATTTCTACACCCAAAATAACATTTCATTCAAAATTCGAATATATTTAAATCATTTGGTGAGCCTCTTGCATGATTTCAATGTCCCAAACAAACCACAAACTCCTAAAACACCTTCCAACTCGCACACATACCTTGGGTCCTTCATGTTTGGACATTATTCTTCCATGGATCGATCACACGATTTTTCAGTGTGTGTAGAATATGTTGTATTTAGGTGCCCTAGCGGCAATCAAATACCTATGTAACTGTACACTTTATCATGAATGAAAGGCCTTGAAGTATGTTTTATATCTCGTGTAACATAACATAGCTTCAGTCCATAGACGATAGCGCTTCAGTAACATAGATGAGGACTACGATGTTCTGATTATGAGACTGTTACTTCTGGACGAAGGCTATGTCTAGAATATCCCTAGTCGCACTTTATGATAATACGGACGTCATAACGTATCAAGACTAGTACGTACGAGATGAGATAGTTGCGTCTCATAGACTATAGGTATTGTGATATCTTAATCTGTACGTGGGTGCATATTATATCGATAATATGTGACTGGATTGACCTATCTTGAGAATACTGGATGGATCTACAGTAATGTGTTTATCAGTATTCTCAAATCGACCTTGCTATAACTTGTTGGGAAACGAGGCTTGGATAACGCAGCGGAAAACAAAAAAATTATAGTCCAAAACTCGATTCCACCCAAGAACAACTTACGTAAATTACTAGCTATAGTAAGAAATTTACCTTAACGGTGAAAACGGAGAACGGAGGAACGGTCGGGTATGGTTTTGAGGAGATGAACGTAGCGCAAACGTATGAAGCCTCCAACGTATCCACACGAACTTGCTCCGGAGTCCAAGATTAAACTTGTGCTAGCAAGTTTAATATAGGATAGTAAAAACTATAATAATACTATTTTTGGAGTAATAAATATATAATGAAATATTTATCTTATAAATATTTGTTTATAATATTTTGTGTATATTTCTAACACTTTAGAAAAATAACTTTGAACAAAAAATAATATTTTCTTCTCTCTAAAATTGGGATGGCCGAAAAACACCTATCAAAAATGGGGAGAGATTCATTTTCTTTATATAACATAACTTAAATGAATTTCTAGGAAATAGCTTAGGGACAAACCAAATTAAAATTAGTGGTAATGTTTCCAACCAACACAACAAGACAAATATCCTTTTTCTTAATCAAATATTTGATTATATCAATCAAATATATCATTAGGTAGAAAATCAATTTAAGTCTTGTATTTTTCCCTTTGATATTTTCGGCCATATTATATTATAATATATCATATTTTATTTTGACATCAATAATTATCATATAATTAAAATGATGAAAATAAAAGTAATATATATATATATATATATATATATATATCGGCGCTACATATATATATATATAATAAAATTTGTTTTGTCAAAATATAATTATCATATAATTAAAATGACACAAACAAAATATAATTTTAAAATACATATGTATTTTGAAATACATATATATATAAAATTATCACAACTATATATTTAATATTACTCCCACTAGTGTAGTATACTACTCCCTTACAAGTCCTAAGTGTGTGACCCTTTTAGGTATCCATAACACTGGCAATGATATTAATATAAATTAATACCAGAGATAATAAGCGGTATCTAGCAACACATTATTATCCCCAGATTATGAAAAAGACGTTCATCTCATCAATACCTTCTACGACACAAGACGTTCTATAACTATTATCCTTCTGTCCTAAATGTCATGATTTAACACAAGGCATGGGATGTGTATCCTTGTATAGTTAAATCAGCTCTTACTGAATCTCAAGTAGACTGGCAGGGATCAGATATTTATCAGTCTCTAGATAGCGACATATCTGGGCATGGCCATGCACTTTCCCAAGTCCTACTATTCAGTGGGCCCATTGACATTATACTTCTATACAGTAGAAGGGACAGATCCTGTATCTGTTATTCACATCTCTAAATATGCTTAGCGGCATACCCAACGCATAACTGTACGTCTACCAGTATTTCAGATAGCATTAGTTATGAATCAAAGCATACGGCCCCACATATCAGAGAATGTAATAACTTCAAGTCTGAGGATAGTTATAGCAAGGTCGATTTGAGAATACTGATAAACACATTACTGTAGATCCATGCAGTATTCTCAAGATGGGTCAATCCAGTCACATATTATC